CTTTGGTCAAATCTTGGCACATCTGCAATGCAGATCTGCTTCAAATCTGCAGAATCCCTTTGCAGAATCTGCAAAGTTACTGCAAAGATTTTTCCAGATTTATGTTGCAGAAAAATCACCTGGGTAGTCGATTTCGTTTATTATTGAACTCAAGCAAAACAACATCTGAAAAAAACTTCCTACATTCTACGTAAAAAATAAGTTAGCACGTATGTTTGCTAAATAAGCTGTATATATACTAATAGCGTACCATAGAGCATGGTTATGTCTGTAAGTTACATGTGTAGCGTCAAAAGTTTTGATTTCTCTAATAACATGTTTAACAAAAATTCTTTTACTAGATAACTCGTGATTAAAAAGTTGTTTTTCAGCTAAAGAAAATTGTCTCATTTCATTTATACGAACTGGCGTCATTAAAAGTCCACCATTCGCGAATCCCTTGTCCGCTAAGAGTCTTGTATTGTAGGTGGAATTGAACATGGTTGATTAAATCCAATATCGCATGTTGTCAACATTCTACTATCATGAATTGATCAAAGAAAACATGACTTAAAATAAATTAATCGACGGTCGGTAGATATTACAATAATAGACGCTAAGCAATGATGCTTGATCTTTCCGCTATAATACATCCGTTGATGATTTTCTATAGTAAAAACAAGAACAAGTCTAGTTTTCTACAAAGAAATACTGTCGCAGTCACAGAGAAAGACAGACTATGAATAGGAAATCTACAGCACGACTTCTCCCGATTTTTGTAAATAGCTGTGAGGAACATTAAACTACACAATTAAAAAAGCTCACGCTTTGTAGATGTTAGCAGAAGTTCTTCATTTATCCCAGACAGACCTGAAATGAGTTGTTTGGAAATATATAAAGCTGACTTCTTGATTTATTTGTACACTGTAAAAAATAACGTGTCCTAAAATGTGTCCTCAAAAAATACATGGAATGAACACATTTTGTTCTGTAGGTAATGTGTCCATGCGTCGCTATTTGCGACACAAAGTGTATCCTAAATACCTACACATTTAGTACATCATTACTAAGGATACACTTTGTGTCGCAAATAGCGTCGCAGGGACACATTCCAACATAGAACAAAATGTGTCCATTCCATATATAAAAAAATGTGCCGTCAAAAAGCGCATTATTTTTTACAGTGTAGAACTCAAAATGAAATCTTCAAATTTTTAGTACGCTATTCGACTTTCAAAGAACTCAAAGCCAAGAACTCATTTTTTTAAGAATTTCGTTTTTTGTTTCTCATCTTTCAGCTTCATATTATCGAAGCACTAAAACGATCATCTTTTGCCCTCTTATCGCACCATGTTTTACCCGGTATTTTCTTCGGGAACATGATGCGGTAAATTATGGAGCAATTTACTTCACAACTACACTGCAATTACTCTAAACTATGGCTATACATCTACATAAAAGCTCGCGTTTCTGTCAGTATCATTATTCATTAGCAAAATCGCGTCATCATACTGAACTAATCATAAACTGATAGATTAAGTCTTTTCAGAATAAAATTTTAATCTCATACGCTAGCGCAGCTAAACTCAGATATTGCGACAGCAACGGAAAGAAAGTTTTTAAAACCACATACGAGGTCGGGTAATTTTATGTCGGGTTCCGTCTATGCATCCAACATATCTTCCAAGAATTGAGTGAAATAGAACCAAATTTTGCCATTCATTGGGAGTCGGCCACCTTATCATTGACCGTATTATTTTAATTAAAATCGGAAGAGAAAACTTAATGTTATAGGATATTTTCATTGATGATACACGAAACATTACGCTCAAAACAGCATTGCCAGGATATTTTCGAAGAAAAATTAATAGTAACAGTAAAATATTCGCGTTTAACCTTGAAGAGTGAACCTTTTATTTAAATAATAATAGTTTTCGAATGGACTAACGTAGAAAATCATGATACAAATCGCAGAATGCTTCACGTGTAATGCCTGTTAAATCACAAAATCGACGAGAGATTGGTGCTAATTCCGCGTATAAGTCGATTAAATTTAGCCGTTCATAATGATCAGATTCCATCGTTAAGTGGTGGATTGTTAATCGACGTAAAGACGGGATGATTTGTGTTAATTGATACAATTGAGATATTAACATAATCAGTTCACGAAAGTTTAATAATTGAAAATCTCTTGTTAGACGGATAAGAGTAAAAAAATAAAAGTAACAACATTTGAAGATAATTGAAAAAGTTCCCGTTTCCTTCTCCTTTGTAATTGATCCATGAGTATGTAGATAAATTTTGAATTATGTTAGACAGTGATGTCAACTGAATCTCAGATTAGAAAGTAGGAAAACTTTTCTTTACGTTCTTGTGTGTAATATAGGTTGTTTACTTCCCATATGTGCTATATACCGTGTGTTTTACACAAAAGAAAAGGAGAATAACCGTTACGATTTGAACGAAAAGGAGTAAGGGCACTTGTTTCTTTTTTTGTCAAACTACACACGTCTTCACCTATCACTCGCTACAAACATTTGTTTACTTACACACAATAATGCAAAATTCATCGGCTAAAAACTCACATTCGTATCGAAAAGTTGATGATATTGAACGAGAAGTAATAATTGGTTTAACCGAAACATTCAAAAATTTAGCACTAGCAATTGCGAATTATATTCGTCAGTCTGGCACTAAATATGGAGAACTTGGCTTCTATTATCAAGGATTAGCCTATGCTTCTGCTCGGAAACGAATTTATGACATACTGAAAAATGCTGCAAAAAGGTATACATTTCCAAAATAAACATTTTTCTGAAGTTTCGAAAACGTGTTTTTTGTCGTTTGTAGTGTAGCTGTTGAACGTGTTCAAGATCCCTTATGTTTTCAAGCACGAGCAACAGATAAATTCGATTATGTTGCTTCTTCAGACGGTATAGAAATTGATGACGATGAACGTAATCAAGTAGTTGAAGAACTGCTTTTAAAATATGTTAGAGTGAGTATGCATTATCTGTGATAGCGACATTTCTAATATCTTGTAAATTTTGACAAAAATCAGTGAATATTGCTTTAACTTAATTCAAAAACCGTGATCTTATCTACTATGATTACTATTTCGATAGATACCTTTCGAAAATATGAGCTAAATTTTGTCTCACATAAAAGAGTTTCTAAGAATAATCTTCTGTACTGAAGTGGAAAAATGCCTATTAACATAAAAGAATTTTTGTATAAAATAACATCTGGCTTTCCGTCCGTCTGCCTATTGTTCTTTTGTTAAGGAATTAATCAGAAACATTTTCTGAGCAATATTCAAGAAAACCTTGAACAGGTGAAATCGATTGAAGATTATTGATGTACTAATTGCATACATCATCTTCAACTTTACAGACACAAGAATTCAAATACAATAAAATTCTTTTAGCAATCGATATGCAGTTAAACGTGGAACATATATATAAACAACAGTTTTTGAGACGGTCATAGAAAATAATCGTCTCAGCGCCCCTCATTACATTTTACTACATATTATGAGGCTATAATCTCATTTTTTCGCAGTGGTTAGATGCAGTTTTTGAAAAAAAATGCTCGTACGCCCTTTTCTTTGCTATATTCAGCAACAATATTGCTTGTATAGTGGTTTAGAAGTGGTTTTTGAATTTTTCAGCAAGGAGAACAGTGTCAAAATGAAACAACACAACAATCACAATCAACGATTAACATCTCAACATTCGATCCTTCACCTGTTGATGCTACATTACCAGGAAACAACGACTCAACACTATCCGCTGTCACATCAACGGCAATACTTACGTCGAATCAACCTAATTCACTTAGTACAGTCATAGATTCAAGCCCAATTGTTTCAACAGCTCAAAACGATAAACCTCTTAATTCTTCACCGTCACACATTGTTTCTAATGCTGTTTTTTACACCGTCTCTATCTATTTCCTCAATAAATCCTTTACTTCTGAACAAATTATCACCACAATTGCGAGATGTTAATTCACTATGGTCTATGTTTACGTCATTTGTATCAAATGTGGCAGACAAGGCTAGTACACAAATACCATCAAGCCCTGCATCATCAGCAATTAATATTGATAGTTTAATACCGTCATCATCCTCAATTCAACCATCTAAAATACTTGGTGATCGTCGTTGTGCACCTAATCGTCAAACATTAGATCATTTATCATTGGGTTTAGACGATATTGAAGATTATTCACCGTCTCATGGTCCCCTTGCAAAACGTCTTTGTATTCGGCCACAACAGAATAAAACATCAAATTTGAATCGACAAAAACATGCTCGACCACCGGCATCATTTTCAAAACCTTCGACAAATAAAAATGTCTTAACAAATTCTCAAGTTAGCTTTGATGACAATGACGAAGAAGAAGAGATCTCTCTAACAGTTCCAACGAAAAGAGAACGTCCAATAAGTACGTTCGATACGAGTGGAATGAGCGACAACGATGATGATAACATTTTAGTTAAAAAACGAGTACCGCTCGTTACCCAAACAACCAACACATTAACAAATCTCAATAAACTAATTGCAAAATTCGACAAATGCCCTGACTGATTTCTCGAAGAAAACGGTTTTGATAAATAACCATTATCGTTTTAAAAATATAATGTCCGTAACCACTTATTTGAATATCTTGAGAATGAAATGTGGTAGAGAGTTCGAATTTTCACCGTTCAAAAGAAGAGACTTGGGAACGAAACACATTTTATTAACAAATATTAATCCGAAAATATTTTTCTAAAGTAGGATTTTGAGGAGACCTTTGGAGAATCAACTCATAGTTCAAAAACTTCCAGTACGAATACTTTCGTTTTTCTTCATGGACAGATAACCCAAAGTATCCTCTACAAAATGGAAGTCAAGCTAGTCTTGATTTCCAGTGATTCGGGAGTGGTATCCGATTTTCTTCGGGCCTCAGAATCGGTACTAAGTGATTTCAGGTAGTCTTGAAATCGGATGGAACATACGTAATCGACTACGTTAAAAAATTCACCATTCGTTCGAAAAACATCAGAACGAGTTGGAAACTTCAGAATGTATACTGCTTAGGTTGTTCTATATCCTACCCATAAGAACTTCACAAAAGCGAATTTACAAAATCCATTGACTTTTTCAGAGGATTTCCAGAAAACGTTTGTCAAAAAATGCTTTTTCAATTTTTTTAATCGTATAATCATGTTAAAGGGACAAAACTTTGAAAAACATTCTGAAGTCACTTAGTACCGATTCGAATCTCTGTCGTTTCGCCAAAAGACAATTCGCCTTGGCGAAAAGTCATGGGAAGTTTCGCCAATTGGCGAAAGCGTACAAATTCTTGGCGAAACGGCACTGGCATTTCGCCATGGCGAATTGTCTTTTGGCGAAACGGTTTTTTACCATCTTTTGTGTACGCAAAATTTTGGGGAATCTCTGACGTTTCGCCAGAGCACGATTCGCCAAAAGACAATTTCCTGGAAA